AATATATAGCTAAAACGAGTTGAACACAAGTGAACAAAAAATTGTTCATGTTCGACTCGTTCATAATTTGAGCTTAAGAAATTTGTTTGTGTTAGACTCATTCGATAAGTAAACGAGTCGAATACGAGTTGTTCGCGAACAAGCTTTTTTGACAGCCCTAGTCATTTGCATGTTTAATGCTTGACATCTTTCATATGTTTGTCGCATGTCATATGCTTGACTTTTTTCGAATGTTTGTTGCATATCTTGCAAGTTTGCATGTGTGCTCGGTGAGTAACTCTCGGGTAAGGTGTAAATTTTCATTATAAGTATTCTTTTACTCAATACATATTCACTCATAGTTGATGCCTGGTTGTCACATGAATCCCCGGGTCCCTCGGGCAGGTATAATTTTTTATCATAGGTATTCTATTTTACTGGTGCATCTTATTTGTGTATGTCATGTTGCATGTAGGCATCTTTGCAATCCCTTAAATGATGTGTGCATAGTCTTTTTGGGCTCATGTTGTGATTGTTTCGTGTTTTGGTCGAACAATCATAATGTGTGCCTTTTGCATGTTTGTATCTTTGCCCATTTGCCTTAATGACTTGTCCTTCTCGTTAGGAGAGTGCCACGTTTGTTAGTCGTGACACTCAAACGAGCGTTACCTGAGGATATGTTGGCAAGCAATGCGAGTTTTTGTGTCACAAGCAGCAAACAATATTATTGTGCTAAAGATCCAAGGACTTTAGTGTGTCACATGCATCGTAAACCCAAATTTTATGGTTCGTTATTTTAAAATATAAAAAAATGAATATTACTTTTACATTTATACCACCCAAATATATTTCATATCATATAAAAAGTACCGCCGTTTCAACTTTCTAAAACTGAAATACTTCTTTTCATGCATAGGGAAGAGGGTATGTACATAAAAATTGAAGCTTAGGTGTTCGATATGTATTTACACAGGAATTGAGTGGTATAAATGTAAATCTTCAAAAAATTTACTAATGCATAACGTGCTTCTGTTTACACATGACTTCAATTTTGGTTGATGTTTTGGGCGGCATCTACCTTTCAGTTTAGCCTGACCGGAATGCTCAAGGATGTAAAATGTTAATATGTTGATTTTTCATGGATAACTCAAGGATGTAAAATGTGCCCCCAAGAAGCGCATGAAACTCACTGTTGAATGATTAGCAATAAACATTGTTGGACTTGGAAAGTTTTTAAAAAAAGTGATTAGAATATCTTGGCTGAAGTGCATATTCTCATTTCTCAGGCTTTCTAAAGCAGTGGAATTTACATACGTACTACACAATTCTTCTGTATTTACATGTCTGACATCTAAATATACATGTTCACATGCATGCCACTCAAATCCTTAACATCACATCAAAAAAACCACAATCACTATCATTTTTTAAAACCAAAATACATCTTTATATGCAAAGGTTGATGACAACAATGTGTTCCAACTATAAATATCAAAATCTAAGTATCAGACATGTAATTATCTATTAGAAAGCAATGGTAAAAACGAAAAAAAAAAATTCTTTTTTAACAATAGTTCTGCAAATATTTTTATAAACACTACAACCGGTTCCAAGCAGAACCCAAATTCAGTAACTGCTTCACATTATTTTAATCCATGATCCCAGGAAAGGGAAAACTGCAATTAAGAGCCTTAGAAACAGAGGAGCATCTCTGTATCTTCCCTTCTTCGACAACTTCCCCATCTCCCCTGGAGCAGATTTGAACGAGCTACCGGCTCCAGGCGGCGCCCGCCGCCTTGCTGGTCTCCTCGGTTGATCCAACTCATCCCATCCTCCAAAACGGGAGCGTCCCGAAAACTTCCCCCTCCCATCATTGAAACCATTCTCTGTCGCTACCCACGACTTATAGAACTCGTTTTGCTCATTCTCGACGCCGCTTTCATCCTGCTCCTGCTTTCGAAAATCATAGGAGGAGGCCGAAAATGGCTTCCTCTTCCTCCTGCTCCTTGGACTAGTCCTTGTCTCTTCCTTTCCACCACCCCACAACTTTTCGATGGAAAGGGAAATTGCAGATTGCCCCAAAGGTAGCGCTAATGCCATTAGGAAAGCTTTTGGACCTGTGGCAAGAAGGATTGATGCAATGATGGCAGGGAGCAGGTAGCCATATGACTTGAAAACCTGTAATTTGGAGATTAATAAGACCAAGCACTTCTTCAGATTTCTTCAGATTTATCATATGGCATTCACAGGTTCATACATGAGAATTCAGCAAATAAGAAAAAAGAGGGACTAACACATAAATTTTGATTTTTTACATTTAGAGATTAATAAGTGCAATTCACAATATTAACAAGACATGTCACTCAATTCTTATGTATTTACATATCTAACACATAAATTTTGATTTTTATATTTACCTAAATATTTCATATCACATCAAAAAATACCTCTTTGTTAACTTCTAAAAAGTGAAAATGAAATGCACCTTTTCATGTTTTAGGCAAGGTGGCATATATGTAAAAATTGAAGTTTAGGTGTTAGATATGCATATATATAAAAACTGAGTGGCATGCATGTAAATCTTCCTACTAACAAACACAAGAACTCAAGGCAAGGCTGGATCTTTATATAATATTTGTTTCAGTTCCAAACAAATTTTTGATTAAAAGGCCATGAAATTTAAATTTGCGGTGTTGAATGCATATTTTGATGTATATCCAACCTTAAATTACAGAATTCACTCTCTTATTCTTCCATGTCTAGTTCAACAACTTTCCTGCTCAAGGTCACTAGATACAGTTCTGAGGTCTTGAAGCTAAAAAGGAAGTTCTTCTTTGCAATTCTGAAGGGTATATAAGTTGAAAATTATGAAATTAAAAAAAAAGTTAAAAGCTGCATCAGAAAATGCGCATAAAAGAGCTACATGGAACAAAATCATATCATACTGAAACAAGACATTTCAACATACATGATCCCCACAATATCACCAAGCATCCATTAATAAAGATAGGGATAAAAATGTCTAAGGAGAACATCACAAAACATTGTGCACAGTTCTTTAATAGTAAAAAACAAAGGTCTCAAATATTATTTATTTATTTAGTTTTACATATGTAATAATTAATCACTCATCTGGAGAACACAAATTTCACCAATTTACCAACATGCACGCACAGAAAGGAAGAAAGAAAGCATTACGTTTTACAATTATCTATGAAGCAATGAAGCAAAGGGAAAAATCAAACCTATTTTCCTTTTGAAAGAATTCAACAGCATCAGCCCATCAAATTCAACAAAATGACTGCAAATTACACAACGATATTAATATCAGCATTATTCATTCGGTTACTTGGTAATGTTTTCTCCACCTCTGTCCTACAGTAGGACCATCACATTATCATTGCATGTATAGCATTATAACAACCTAAGGTAGAGAATAACTCCTCTGTTACGCGTATATATAAGGAAAATAAAAGTGTTGTGTTTTCCTTCTCCTACTTCATTTCCCTGAATGATTCTACTGCATCTTCTTCCTCCTTCAATTGTCTATACGGTATCAGAGCAAGTATTTCTCTAACGAGCTTTGATCCTCTTTGTAACGGAGGATTCTCTAGCTTCGAGAGGAATACAATAGAAGGAGGATTTGCAAAGATGAATCAATGGTCTCTCTCTTCCTCTTTGACTTTGTTGCAACCCAAAAAAGGTAGAAATGATGAGCGAATGAATAGAGTGGGAGGAGGCAACTGAATGTTGAAGCAGGAGCAACTACAAAAAAGTCACGCACAAGTTTTTATTTATTTATTTTACTTAATATTAATTAAGTATAATTGAACTCAATTAATAATAGCAATAATAATCTTTAGCAGTCCTCTTTTTTTTAATGCCAAAAAATGCCCCCCAACAAATATGATTCGTGCTTGAAGCGGACCATGTTTATTGCAAATTGATTGATCCTACGGATCTCGAAAAGCATATTCAAATGTCAAGTTCAGGGTTTCACTTTGCAGATCTTCAAGAATACTAATTGGATGACATCGCCTCTTACTTGCCACTCATTTGGCTTGGAGATTGAAATTGTCTTTTGTGATTTTTACTCTATGAACTTGTCAAGAAGGTGAGCATATTCTCAACTCTGAGCCGTGCTTTGGTGTACACTTCTTGAAGAAATTGACATGAATTATCTCTATAGACTTTTGTTAGTGAATGAGCATATCTTCTGGCTTAGCTTTGTGTTTTGACGGCCTCGTTGAAGAAGTTGACCAAAATTGTCTCTACGGACTTGTTAGGTGATTGAATATTAACCTTCAGTAATAGTTTTGTGCTTTGGTGAAAGGAATTAATCTGAATTGCTTCCATAAACTTGTCAGGTGAATAAGCATACCCTCGATCCTAGCTTTGTGCTTTGACAAATTTGTTGAAGGAATTGACCTGAATTGCTTCCACAGACTTTTCAGGTGAATAAACATACATTCAATCCTAACTTTGTGCTTTGATGGACTTGTTAAAGAAATTGACCTAAATTGTCTCTATGGACTTGCCAGGTGAATATACCTATACATTTAGTCTCAGCTTGATGCTTTGGTGGACTTGCTGAATGATGCATGCAAGTGACCTAACATTTTGACTTTTATTGAGTAAGTGGCAAGAGGTGTCAGTCATGTGCTTCGTGCTTTATCAGACTTACTAGCGGTTGAAATCCCTTAGCTCAACAACTAGTTTTGAACGAACTTATGGGAGAACTTCTTCGGCCTTCTGCTTTGCATTTGTCAAACTTATTGAATAAAAAACTCCTCTAGTTTGTGGTTCGTGCTTGATCAAACTATTTGAAAAAGTAACGCTTCCTTTATTTGAACAGGCCATCAAGCTCGTTTGATGCTTTCTTGAGCGATGATCATTCCTTTGATTTTACTTGACCATTTGATTACTCAAGAAAATAACTTTGATCTAATTTTCTTTAACTTATCAAGTTGAATATGCTTGAAACTTAACGGTCTTTGTCATCAGACTAACAAAACAAGAGCTTCTTCACTACGACCGTTTATATGGCTTGTTGAGTGAGACTCGACCATACTTGGATTTGTTGGGTCCGACCTTCAAGACCTGCTTGAGTCTTAAACTTAGACTACAAGGAGTTTGTGCTTCTTCAACTTAATAAGCTTAAGCTCATAGACTTGGGAGTCTCCTTTCTTATAACACAAGGTTTCGAAGCTTGTATGTTTAGGAGCATTTTAGCTTTGAGTGCATAGCTATTTTTTGAGTGTAGATTATCTTTTTGATTTAACTATAATTCATCAATCTATTGAGAGTCTACTGGATCTGAATCAAATGAACTCATAAAACTGGATGAGTTTAGGAACTAGACAACTCTTATCATCAAACTAACAAAACGAAGGCTCTCTTACTGCGGTCGTATTTATGGCTTATTGAGTAAAAAGAGCTTGCTTCGTCATTATAGTTGTTTTTATGGCTTGTTAAGTGAAGCGAGCTGTCGGCAACTCGATCATATTTTGGCTTGTTGAGTCCGATCTTCTAGACCCGCTTGTGCCATAGACTTGAGCTATGATAGCACTTGCATCTTTCCAACTTAACTCATTAAAGCTTGTAAATCATAAAGCCTTCTTAGTCGAATCTTCAAGATCTTAGTCAACCAAAGAGAAAACTCTATTTTTAAATTTGCACATATATTTTGCATGATAACAAAATTATCATGCAAATATTTGGGGACTTCGGCATTAAAATACAATGACAACCCAAAAGAAATGATATCTCAATATAAAGCATTATGTGAACACTTGTCATTGGGGATCGAAGCCATAAAATTTGTTGTAAATCTCAAAAGAGGAGACCATTGTCCGATTAAACAAATTTGTGGATCTCGACATCGAGCACGAAATCAACCAAATAAACAAAAAAAATGCCCGGACTTATGGAGGATTTTATGAGCAGTTACAAACACATCCTTGTATTACAAAAGAGTTTCAGGAAAATATCTTCTATAATTTCTTCCGGCTTATGTTTTCTTCAAACTTGATGGACTTATTGTTGGGCTTGTATATAAACTTGTAAGGGAGAGTGAGGAGCATCTAAAACTAACTCCTACTAGCTTGCATTTGATGGCCCCTCTTCCAGTGGGGATTTAAGATAGCACCCATTTGATTCTTCTTGACTTATTAGGGAGTGAGGAATGATCGAAGTCATATCCTGCTAACATAAATTTAATAACTCCTCCGCTCGTGAAGCTTAAGCGAGGCTTATCTACTAGTTTTGCCTTATTCAATCAGTTGAGAAAATCTTAAGACTTGGATCACTTAATTTATCAGACTGGATAAGCTTTAATAAGATAGTTATTGTCATTAGATAGACAAAACAGAGGCTTCTTCATTATGATTGCTTTTTATGACTTGTTGAGTGAGGATGGTTGTCAGCGGCTTGGCCATATTTGAGTTGTTGAGTTTAACCTTCAGAACCTGCTTATGTCTTGAACTTGAGCTGCAAACAATGTTATGCTTCTCCAACTTGATCTATTGCAGATTACAAGCTCAAAATTCTCTCATTTGACTTTCCAAGTTACGACAGGTCTGAGAGATGAACCTCCGACTTTGAGATTGTCTTTTTTATAATTTTCTTAAACATAAGTTCTTTTTTTCTTAAATTAAATGAGTATAACTTTAGTATCAATATGGTAAAAAAATTCAATTGGGGATCTCACATCAGACATGATGTCAATCCACATTATAAATATAGAATATATTTGAGTATCTGGACTTGAAGCTCGATGTCAACCCAATTGATAGAAGAAAAATATATTTAGACATATCGGCCTAGCACTCGATGTCAATCCAAATGAAATGAGTGGCCCCCTATATTGATAAGAAGGGAAAGTCTGACGCTAGCTGAAATGCTTGAGAATTTTGGCTTAGCGCTCAATGTCAACTCAAATAAGTGGTCCTATATCTTGATAATAAGAGAAAATCTGATGCTAGATGAATATATTTGAGGATCTCAGCTTAAAGCTTGATGTCAACTCGAATGAATATATGTTGTTTATTTATCTTTATAGCAAAGAAAAATTTGATGCCAGCTTTGAATTTGATACAAAGCTTGAGCTAGCTTCTATTGTTTTATATTTCACACTTCATCATACATGTTGAAGAGAGGAATTCTTTCAATCAAAGCTTAATGCCTGTTCAGACTTATTGAAAAAATTTGCCCCCGTCAAGACTAGCTTGACGTCTCTATGAGCAAAGATCATCCCCTTTGATATTTATTTTCACTCTTAGATCAATTAAGAAAATTTGATGATTAATTGTTTGATTTTGTTAAGTTGGATAAACTTATGCTTTCATTATTGTTAGACTGACAAACAAGGCTCTTCACTACAACCTTGGTTGGTACTGAACAGAAAAACCAATAACTCGACTACCTTTTGGTTTGATGAGTCTGGCCTCCGTCTGAGTCCTAGACTTTAGCAATAAATAGTATTGTGCTTCATATCATGAAACTAACAAACAGGGCTTTTCACTACAACATTAGCTTGTTGAGTAAAGGAAAAGCCAACAACTCGACCACATATCAGCTTATTGAGTCAGGTCTCCGTCCGAGTCTTTGACTTATGTAGAAGACAAGTTACACTTCTCCAACTTAACTGTCGAAGCTTGAAGATTTTCACGAATTTTCTCACTTGACATTTTAAATCTTGGTGAGTTTTGAAAATGAACCTCTAACCTTTAGAATCATCTTACATATCTTGTTTGAAACTTGTTCTCTTTGGATTGTCAAACTAAACACAACATTATCAATGACAATTTGGATCTTCTTAGGAATCTCAACATAAAGCATGATTTCACTTGAGTTATTAGGGGATATCAACTATGAGTTTGATATCAACTCAAATGGAGGAAGGTCAGGTATTAAACATGATATTGGGCCCGGAGATCTCGGCCTTAAACTTGATATGTACCTAGAAAAGGATTAGCCCCATGTCTGATAAAGAAAAGATTTCGGTGTTTGGGGCGGTCAATAGTCTCAGCTTTGAGCATGATTTTAACTCGAATGTGTGTTTGAAATGTTTGTCCCTTGTCTATCAAAAAGGAACTACTTAAGTTTATAATGCATTTAGGGATCTCAACCATGAGCGTGATGCCAACCTAGAAGATAGGCTTTTGGCTTGGAGTTTATTGCCACCTCGAATGACTGACCCCTTGTTTGGCAAAAAATTGACTTCAACACTTGGTAAATATATCCAAGGAATCTACGCATATAGCGTGATGTTGACCCAGATGATTGAGAATGCCTTTTATCTTGCAAAACAGATTTCAGCGATGCTTGGACCTTTTTGGGGATCTCAAATTTGAGAACAAGGTCAATCAAAATGTGCTAAAAAATGCTTCCCTGTATTGCAGGGGAAAACTTCAAGATAACTTGAAATACATTCTTGTATTTTGATGACGCTAACTTGAAATGCGTTCTTGTATTATAACGACGCTCGAGTCTTTTTGGGGATCTCGGCTTAGAGCACGATGTCAACCTAAATAAACTAAAAAAAATGCCCCTTGTCTTGCAGGGGGAAACTTCATGATAACTTAGGAATGTATTATTGTATCATAAGAAAATTTCCAATGATGGAATAGAGCATATATTAACAGCTTTGACTAGAAAGCTATGTGTAATACCCCTTCAAATATTAATCACAGATTATCAATATTAATCGTCGACTATTAAAGTTTTTGAGTTGGTAGACTCCTCCAAATATATATTTTTTTTCAATGACAGAAAGACCTTCCAAATTAAGTTCGAATTTTCTATCAAAATTAAGTTTGATAATCCCTTTGATAAATCTTTGTTATATCAGCTCGAATTTAATAATCTTCCCATCGACAAGGATTAAAGATACATCTCTACTTGAAGGAATGGCTAGAGTCATATCCTATTGGCATTAGTTTAATGACCCCTCTACCCATGGGGATGAAGATATTCTTCATTTGGTTGTTCTCAGATTTATTAGAGAGTGATGAGTGACAAATGCCATATCCTACTAGCAAAAATATGATAACCCCTCTAACCACAGGTATGATGCTGACTGGTGATGAGATCCCTTGGCAAGTTTTCCAAGGTGTCCACCATCCTAAGATTCTTCAATGAACTTTCTTTAAAATTCATCTTTGAATGATCTTGTTAATGATGGATCTCTGAGAGCACAAATTAGATGATACAAAATTCCTTCTCTGATCATTTCACCTTCATTAATTTTGAGCTATCATCCCAGAAAGAAGATAACAACTTCCTGATCGGTGCACTATTGGTCTCAATCAAAATGTGGTGATATTTGAACTTGAAATTCTGATAAAAAGCTTATTAATATGAACATGAGCTTCTAAAAGACATTGAATAGATTCCTAAATGTGAAGCCGAACAAATCAATCCTACATTAGTTAATGTATATCACAATGCAGACCACACTCTTCCGACAGAATCACAGAACTAACATAACTGTTCCTCATAGTTTTTAGTCCGGGCCAGATAAGAAAATCAAAATTTATCACCACTTGCACGCTTTTAAGGGCCATAATGGCACGATCTTTCATGTATTCAAATCAATAATCCCACAAAAACACCATAATATCTCAAGACTGCATCAAATAGCCGTTTGCAAAAATTTCACAAATAGAACGATGTGATTTCTTACAAGTAAATAAATTTTCAATTATTACAAAAAATTAAAAAAAAAAGTTCATTTTTTATATCCAAAGGAACAGCTTGAATAGAACTATTTTCGTTTGTGTTACAAGCAATAGTTCCAGAAAGAAAAACTCAATAAACTAAAATAGAGCTAAGAAGTTACCTTAAATATCCATATTTTATCCCATAGCTGTTCACCATCCTCTTCCTCCTCATCAATAGAGTCGAATTCTTCCTTGAAGTCGCCGTCCAGGTTGCCGTCAGACCACCATCTTCGTGGGCCGCCTTGCCCGAAATCTCCGCTCACCTCTCCGCTGCTGCCCTTGTCCCCAAATCCGAACCGACCGGCCCGGACGGACTCAGCGTTTGGGTCCGAGGAAGAGTGCCTGCGCCGGCAGCGACAAAGGAAGCGGCGAGCGTGTATTGGAGACGGCGGTGAAGATGGATAAACAGTAGAAGCAGGGCTAGGGTTTGGGCTGGCAAGAAGAGCCCACTGAGGAGGGAGTGAGAAGGAAGAGAAGAGAAGGTTGGATGATATCATATCATTTCCCAGTTGGAAATTTATCCGCATGATTGGAAGAGAGTAGAAAGGTTGGGAGAGATGACCCGAAGGTTGGCGGACAGCGGGGAGTGGCGTTAAGGTAAATATTGAAATTTTGGTGTGAAATTTGTAAATGTTATGTCATGCTATGTATGTAAATCTAAAAGAAAAAAAGAAAAAAAAAAAAAAAACGCAGGTGCTATTTTTTTCCTTGAAGAGATGTGACTTGTAAATTTATTTTAGATAACATATCATATTTTTTAATCACTAAATTCTTTTTTTATAGTGCATCGAGTTCATTATTAGTTTAATACGAATCAAATTATGTATAAGATTTGATGTGTGCCGAAAGATTCACGGCGGTATAGTAATAAATTAGTGTTTCAACATGATATTAGATCCAACACACATACAAATAAAAGAGAAATAGTAGGAAAAGATATCATGATTTTTACGTGAAAAATCTTGGAAATGGAAAAAACCATGAGACCTAATCTAACTAAAATAATTCACTTTAAAATTATAAGTATATAAAATTATGAGACCTAGCATACTCTTCTCTTGAATTAGAGAAGATGAAATTATAAAATTGTTGTACAACAGTGGTCCAACAGTAATAGTTATAATGGGTTACGAATGTCGTAGTTGATTGTTATGAAGGCACCAGGACTGTTAGCCACGTAGGCTATAGTCAGTCATATAGGTTAAGTGGTGAGCTACGATGACGTCCGTATGCCATAGAAGTTGGAGTTGAGAGCTGCATGAGATGTGGACCATGTAGGTCGTAGTTGATCGCATAGGCCGTAATTGTGAGTTGTGGATTATGTAAGCTATAGTTGGTCATGTAGGCTGTAACAGGAAGTTGTGATAACATTCATAGAGCCGCAAAGACCGGATTTGGGAGCTGCATGAGCTATAATCCACATAGATCATAGTTTGTCACATTGGATGTAGAAAGGAGTTGTAATAAGTTTGTATTTCATTAAAGATCGGATTTGAGAGTTGCATTGGCTATGAGACATAGATCTTAGTTGGTCACATAGGCCGTAGTAGTGAGCTGTGATAACACCATAGGCTGCGAAAGGTTGGAGTTGAGAGTTGCATGAGTTATGAGTCATATAAGTCGTAGCTGGTCACATAAGACGTAGTAGTGAGCTATAAAAATGCTTATAAGCCATAGATTTTAGGATTGAGAGCTACATGAGTGTGAATCACGTAGGCCATAATCGGCCATATAGAGAGTTGCAGGGATCTATAATAATGTCTGTAGGTTGTAGAGGTCAGAGTTGGGAGCTACATGAGTTGAGGACCACATAGGTCGTAGTTGGTCATATAGGTCGTAGTGGGTCATATAGGTTATAGTTGGTGACATAGGTAATGAAGGGAAGCTATAATAATGTCCGTAGATCGTGGAGGCCAGAGTCAGATGCTACATGAGTTGCGGACCACCTAAGCTGTAGTTGGTCACATATGCATTAGCAACGAGCTGTAATAATGTTTGTAGCTCGTAGAGACCCGAGTTGGAAGCTACATGAGTTGTGGACCACGTAGGTCATAGTTGGTCATATAGATCAAAGTTAGTCACATAGGCAATAGCGGGGAGATAATGACGAGTTGTTATAACATCCATAGGCTACAAAGATTGGAGTTGAGAGTTGCATGAGTTATGAGTGCGAACCATTAAGCCATAGTTGGTCGCATAGGCGGTAGCGGGGAGCTGTAATAATGTTTGTAGGTCGGGTGAGGCCAGAGTTGGAAGCTACATGAATTGTGAACCGGGTAGGTCATAGTTGGTCACATAGATTGTAGCGGAGAGCTGTAATAATATCTATGGTCGTAGAGGCCGAAGTTAGGAGTTGTATGCGTAGTGGACTACATAGGTCGTAGTTGGTCACATATGTTGTAGTGGTTAAATGTGAGTAGAGAACTTTAAAAGTCTGAATTAAGTCATTGTATTTTGAGTACGGCGATTGTAAGCATTATTGTGAGGTGTGTTGTTACACTGTTTTCAAGGTATGTCGTCGCACTTTCTTTGAGATGCGTCTTTGCACCTATGTTGGTTGTGTCATTTGATCATATTTAGGGTGTGTTGTTACACATTTTACGGGTGCATCATTTTACCATTTTTGGGGTGCGTCATTACACTGTTTTCAGGGTGCGCGTTACACCATTTTCAGGGTGCGTCATTACACCTTCTTCGGGTAGCATTGTTGCACCATATCATGAGGGGTGTATTATTGCACCGTATTTGGGGGGCTTTGTTACACCATTTTCAGGGTGTATCATCTTACCATTTTTGTGGTGTGTCGTTGCACGATATTCATGGTGTGTTGTCGTCACACCATATTCAAGACGATGCACTGCTCTGTTGGGTGTTTCATTACTCTAATGTACATCATGCCTCAACAAAAAGATTCATTGCAATGAGCAGGGGGCAAGCAATGGTGGTCGTAGTTGCCAACTAGCGGGGGCCGATAGCTGCGGAGCGAGAAGCATTCATAGTGTCATTAGTCCAGAGCCGCACTAAACTTTCAACTCCTTCGCCCGCATGGCCCCCATGTTAATTAGGTAAGTACCAAGTACCTTCTTCTTTTTTGCTCCTTTTCCTTATGCACGACACTCTGAATTAGAGTTATTAGAGCATTTAATATTAATGGGCAAATAAAAAAATTGATTCATAAAATGAATTTATGCAGAATTGCAAATGATTTAATTTGTATGCCAAAAGATTCGTTATTGTTGGATTCATAAAAATGTAATCTATTTAATCACAAATGACAAAACATGGATTTGAAGCAACTTGAGGGGGCTTAATTAAATACCAATTCTACTAAAAAAAGGAATTTATAGGCAAATGGATTGCCTTTTCCTACAAAGTCAAAGACATCTATATAAAATCATTATGTGTACATTAACAGGTTTGAGTAGGTTTGAACTTGATAAAATTGTCTCAAAGTTCACATTTTCTACACATGCAATTTAGTGTCACACATGATATAAATTGTGCGGCAATAATCTTATTGTAAGAGTCTTCATGACAAATAAATAAAAATATATTTATATTTTATTGCAATGAATTTTATACTCCTAAAATAAAGGTAGTGTAACTCACTTTTAAGAGGAATGATCATGAGAAGAAAAAATGTGAGAGATGAAAAACAAAAGAGATCAAGAGAGAAAGAGAGTTGGCTAGAGAGATAAAGGCGGCGGCTGCGAGCGAAGAAGAGAGTAAAGAGTGAGCACGTGAAGTGCTAGCATATGAGCATGCACGACGTCGAGCCTTAGTAATTCGAGTTCCGTGTCTGGACTAATTTTGGAAAAAGGGAAGAATTTCTTAGAGCTCGTTTTTTCTCCTTTTTTTTCTTTAAATTTATGTAAGATTATAGGAATTAGTTAAGAAATTTTAAATAAAGAAAATTTACGAGCTTTATGACTTTACATTCTTTTTCTTCGAGTTACTTGGATAAACCCAAATTTTAGTTAATATAAGCCTTTATAAAGAAAAGATTTATATTGATTAAAGAAAGGGTTAATATTTTGAACTATAAGTTTTCTAAAGATAATTAATTATAACATATAAAGTACTTAACATGTTAATATTGATAAAGGATTAAGCAATGTTTGTAATATATTTTGGGCCTTTACAAATCATGCATGGAGACGGCGTAACATAATGGAAGATTTAGAAATTTAGAGAAGAAAAAAGAAAAATAAAATAAAAATTTAGAACTAAGCCGAGCTTAATCTCGATTTATTTATGACCCTAAGCATGACTTTATCACAAACATTTTCTTATATAACTTAATCTCCCCCACCATTACAATTTAAATCATACATTTCTATCTTAATGATTCCCACTTAACTCCACGCATACACCACTCAATAGAAGAACAAATGTTGAGACAAGGAGGACAAAAGCGAAAACAAACTACCAACCTCTAGGACCCACACCAATTGAAATATGGAAGGCAATGGATGAGGATGGTGTCCCCATCCTAATTAATAAATATCATAGTTATCAAAGCATCATATTAAATCAAATTACATCCACATGAATACATTAGAAAGATATTATGAGGCCAGACTTACTATTTTAACCTTTATGAGGTATTCTTCAGGAATTCCTTAACAAAGCCAACTTCATAATTACCAGGCCAGAAAAATCATGATGAAATCTTACAACCATGTTGTAGTTGAACAAATATTACAACATTTCTAAAACCACAGAAACATACTGGCATCAGTAGAAGGAGATCACTGAAACTTATAGTATTTATCAACTGCTACAAGGACTTCCCAGGTGCAACTAAGCCCCTTAGGAATGACAACAAGATCTCCGGCTCCAAACTCTACACCCTCTGATATCCCCTTTATGTCAGCTCTAACTTTCCCCTTGAGAAAATAACATATTTCCTCTGCATCAAATTTCAGATAGTATTTTCCTGGAGGGCAGCCCCATCTAAAGATAGAAATTTGTAAGAAGAAGAAGAAACAAAGGTTGGATATGGAAGGAGGAGGAGGCTTACTTTGGCCATGATTTCGTCCTGAGCTCTGATAACCGCGAAGGAGACGGATTCCTTTCTACTTGAATGGTGAGGAAGGGAGAATCATGGCTTGAGCCCGTAGTCATGGAGGAGAAGTTATCAAGTTTTATTGAAGCTTTTCATATTTGGATTCTGGTGGTTAATATAGCAGAGAAATGAGAGTGGGTGCTGCAATGGATTTTGTCAAACGATGCAAAGCAAAGATTCTGTTGAATTTTTGTAAAAATAAAAAGAAAATTTCTCTAGAGATTATGTTGTATTTTCATGTTAGAAATATATCATAAATCAATTATCTTATAGTTTTGGATTGGTTTATGTCTCCTACTACTGAAATAAGCATGTCATTTGTTTGAAGAAAATCAAAAAGGAATAAGTTGAGAAATTTTAGTTCTGAAATAGTAAAAAATCTTGTTTGGTGGCCATCTCATCTTGTCCATTACATCTACATAGCTGCTCAAGTCATTATATATCTACTTATTGAACTTTAGTTTTATTTGTTTTCTTATTTGAGCCATACTTCAAACACTTTTTAACACAGGAAAAAAAATTTAATTTATCCAAAAATGTATTTTGAAGATTATTCTCCAACAGCTTTATGAAGAGTGGGTGAACAAATTATCCCTTGTGATATTTAATATCTTCATCATCAAATACTTAGAAAGGCACTGCATATATGTGATATCTACTTGGAATCACATGCATGGTATTTCCATATCTTATTTCATAGAAGTATTTTGAATATGCTAATTGATATTATTATCTTATTAGATAAAACATGTACATGTAATAAAAGCTTTAGCTATTATTGATACGCCTTCGACAAATTTCAATCATTCGATGCAAATCTCGAGGCATGATACAAAGCTTGAGATAATTTTTTTAGCAATAAAAATGAAAACTTCGATTAAAAGTCATAAAAAGTTCTAATTTTAGCAAACATACAATCAAATTTACCAGATCGACGAGACGGATTCAACAATATCAAAATTGGTTCAATTTGACTAAACAAAAATCTCCAATCAAGTCACTAAACCACTTTTTGATGATTTTTCAGACGTAATTGGAAGGTCAAACAGATTCTGATATGTCATGTCAATAGTCAAATCAAGCTTCTCAACAAAATTAATCCAATGTGCTCATGATCGTTCAATTCTAACATTATTAAAAGACTCAAATGTACATCAAATGTCGCCCAATTAAAAAGATCTCACCAGGTCGTTCAATCAAGAGTCGTCTGGATTCCTTCTTTATTTAAAATTTGGACTCTATAAATAGAGCCCTGACAATCTCATGTGAGGGAGTTGGACCTTGGGCATGAGGAAGACCATAACTTCTAGAAGATGGAGTTGCAACCCAACACCCGTCACCGAAGAATTGACCAACTCCGGCCTCTGCCCTCTTCGATACCCGCCGCCGCTTCAAGATGTCACCGGCTCCGGCCAACTGTGGCCGCCACAGCCTTTGGACAAATTAGTTTGGCATCGCCTCCGACCACTGTCACGTTCCACAATCGTCGCTTCCTAGTGCCATCATCACCTTCGACCGACACCGCCTCTTGCTGATGCAAGCTGTCTTCTGTAGCAGCTACCGCGGGTCGTTGTTGCCTTCGACCAACTCCAATCGCCACCCGTCGAACACCGTGGATTATAATCGGTCGCCGACCGCCCACTATAGTGGGATAACAAGCTCTTCTACACACAAACATTGTAATATGAGAAACTTTGTAACCTTTTTCCGCCTATGAAACAAGGAGCTATACTTCTAATCGCCATATCAAAATATTTAAGTTGGGCAATGCCCCGTGATTTCTTTTCTTTTTGGGCTTCCCACTAAAAATCTTATAGTGTTCCTTTTGATTATCGTCATTCATTATGATAAATTTCGTACAACGCTAAGATGATTGTTCAGTGCCTTACCGTTGATAATTTTCTAGCACGCATCAATTGTATTATTAATTACATATTTTTCATGCAACCTAATTAGAGACTAATTAAAACTAAAACATTATATTATACTTAATTATTACATGTACTGAAAACTAGATAGCTTTTTAACAAATAACAACCATCACTTGATTTAACTAATTAGCGGCCTTGCATAATTGATCGTTGGACTAACCAAGTTTAGCCTAGCTAAATTTGTTACTGTTAGCACTCTTTGAATATATATATATATGGTCGTAGAGGCC